CGTTGCTCGGGGGCTGCTCAAGCGGCGGCGGTTCGGTGTCGACACATGCATTCTGGTCAGCTTCATCTTGGAGGCTGCGGCGACATAGGCGACGCTCGTCTGGTGGAGCTACTGCCGATGGTCGAGGCATCGTTGGCAGTCTGCGCCATCGGGTTCGGGGTGCTCAGGGGGAAACCCCAGATTTGGGTCTTCCGGATCGGATGATGATGGCGTTCTATCGCTTTCTCTTCTGAGGGCATCGTCTTGGAGCAAGTGCTGGCTGGAGGGATGGTGGAGCGGTGTTTCATCCCACACTTTGATGGCGGCGAAGATCGATGGCATGGCGCTGTGGAGACTCGGCGTCCGACGTGCGGAGATGGGCTCGCGCAGGAGGAGGTTGCTGTCTGACGTCATGGTGACGTCGATGGCAGAGTGGCCAGACAAGGTAGAAGCCTCAATATGATCTGAAGACCTGTGGAAGATGGCGGCGACGACACACAAGTGCGTCTGACCGGATTGTGCCCCAGACCCGGTATGTGGCTCGGCTGGGGCTTCCGAATGAGTTTCGGCTTCCGGCTTTTAATGTTAGGCTTAAGTGAGTGGTTTGGGTAGTGACCCAGCTAGCACCCCTTCATCATTTTGGATAGGAATAACGGCATATATTGCCAAGATGGTGGATTCAAACACATTGTTGTAGTACTTTGTAAGGTCCTCAAAAATAATCAATAAAATGGCCGTAGGCCGGAGGTCATCCTCCTTTTCTAAAAAAAAAAGTGGCGTCAACATCGCTGAGCTATGCAGTGCTCATCCATCCAACGGAGCCAGCCACCATCGCTTCACAAGAACAAGGACTCATCATACATACAGTACATGGTAAATACTCCGTAAGTGCCAAATGGCATCAACACACTGTTAGCTTCCCAGAATATAAAAACGTTTTTGACACTATGCTAGTGTTAAAAACGTTCTTATATTTTGAGACGGAGGGAGTATGTGATTCCAGAGTCGAATCAGTAAAACAAATATTACTAGGATGGTACGTAGTAAATAAATGAATAACAGCAGCACACATCCTCCACCGACCAAGCAGAAGGATGATCAAAACCCAGGAGCATCACAGCTTACACAGAATGGGCAGATGGACCAAGAAACAACAGCTAAGGGTACACTTCAGTCTTCCCAGTATGATACAACGTCCACGGGATGGCGAAACACACTAATTACACGACAAAGCAAACTGGACACGCACGCTGCTTCTGAATCCTCGAAACATGTAACTCATGACAGCGTTACTATTGGCAGATCTCCTCCACCGCGGCCACGATCTGCGCGGGCTGCACAACGGTCGCGTCCTCCAGGGTCGCGGCGTACGGGGTCGGCACGTCCTGCGACGACAGGCACACGGGGCGAGCATCCAGCTCGTCCCAGAAGTTGTCGATGATGGCCGACCTCAGGCTAGCGCCGATGCCGCCTGTCCGCATGCACTCCTCCACGATCAGCACGCGGTGGGTCTTCTTGATGGAGTTCCCTATGGTGTGCAGGTCGAACGGCTTCAGCGACCTGATGTCGATCACCTCCGGGTCGTACCCCTTGTTCACCAACGTCTTGACGGCCTGCATCACGTGGTACCTCATGCGGGAGTATGTCAGGATGGTCAGCTGCGAGCCTGGACGCACCATCTCGGCCTCCTCCAGGGAGCAGATGTATTCCTCGTCGGGGATCTTCTCCTTCAGGTTGTACAGAAGGACATGCTCGAACAGCACCACAGGGTTATCGCTCCTTATGGCAGCCTTCAGAAGGCCCTTCGCATTGTAAGGGGTAGAGCAAGCGACCATTTGAATGCCCGGGATAGACTGGAAGTAGGACTCAAGGCGCTGCGAGTGCTCCGCACCAAGCTGACGACCAACACCGCCAGGGCCTCGGATCACAATTGGGATTTTGAACTGGCCGCCCGAGGTATAAGGAAGCATACCGCAGTTGTTTGAGATTTGGTTGTAGGCAAGGAGAAGGAAACCCATGTTCATCCCTTCAACAACTGGCCTGAGCCCCTTCATTGCTGCTCCGATTCCCATACCAGTAAAAGAGTTCTCAGCAATAGGGGTATCAAGGACGCGGAGGTCTCCAAACATCTCAGACAAGCCTTTGGATACCTTGTATGAACCTCCATAGTCACCGACATCCTCACCAATCATGCACACGGTTGGATCCAAAGTCATCTCCTCTATCATGGCTTCACGAAGGGCCTCAAACATCAAAACCTCATGACTAAAGAGAACGAAAGGATAATCAGTCAGGCATTTTCCGACAGGCAGAATGATAGGTATGGTATAATAAGTGCAAACTCATCCTTCACTGCTAAATTCAACATGTATATGTCATATCTGCATATAGCTAACAGAACTGCAGCATTCATTCATTTAATTATTCAAGCAGTATAACACTTACCATCTTGTAATGGAACTTACACTAACTATAGTAGATTCACTGAAGATAATGTGGGAAGACTGGGTAGTTTACCCGAGGAAGGTGAGACAGTTATTTAGTCAATTCGAAAGCAGGTAATCTGATGGATTCAGAGTTTATATTACTTGCATCTGCAACATATAGCGTCCAATTTTCCCCCACCAACTGATGGGGCATGTGTATGGATTTAAATGGATAATAATCTGCCTCCTTTTTGCTAGTTACAAGCCAGAACTGACGGCTTCAGAGAAGTATCAAGAAGTTGTTTGCAACAAATTTCTACATCCATCTTCAATTTTAAACCCAAGCAAGTTAAACCTTGTTCTCAACTCACAAATGGATGACAGCAAATTTTTAAGCAGATAACTTCATATTTGCATATTCACGCGTATTACTTACTAACATTAGCTCTTGTGCCTAAGTTTGTACAATTTTTATTATATTAGCTTTGATTCTTCACATACGGCTAGTATGAAGACAAGGTAACCACATGTTGCAAAACCAAGTAAGGTCTAAGTGGTCACAAACAGTGTTTTGAATTTTCAAAACATTGAATATATAAAAACTTCAAACAGTTTGATGAGTCAAAATCAAGTGTAATTGGAACATGGATTCCTTAGGGTCAGATAAGCTGAGTCATAAAACATGATATAAATTCAACTACACACACTGGAAAGGACAGAAGTTTGCAAGGAACAGGCCACCCTCCCTATATAGCAGTCATCGCATTCACATCTATATAAAGCCACAAATCTTCTGTCAATTAAACAAGGCGCAGGCACCTATTACAACTACACAAATCAAGCAACCTATTCATATGAAGGGAGTAATCGATATCTGGTGTAGGGAACATCTAAATTAAGCTGAACTGTTTGTCCAATTAGAACCAGTTCATACGTTTTTCTCTTTCCCAAGACCAATCACACCCTTGCTACTGTGAACAAAAACGACTAGATGATGGCACACAACTCACCCGCCCGTATCGGAGCTCGCAAGCTCACCCTTGGCCTGCAAAGGCACAAAAGCAGACCAATCAATCAGTACGCGCGACGCATCACAGCAAGCAATGGGAGTTAAAATCACAGAGGAAAGTAACTGCAACAACGGCGCGGGCCACCAGCCCGGCCCTCGCCCGCGTCCAGCCCGGCCTCCTCGCCGCGGTGGCCACCCGCACGCTCCTCGGCACTGCGCAAGGTCAAATTCCTCAGTGGCTTCGCATAATCGTAGAGCGCGCGCGAGCAGAGGAGAGATTGAGGTCGAGGGGACTCGGCGCGTGCGTACCTGGTGGGACGGCGGCGGATCTGTGCCTGGAGAGGGCGGCGGCGGCCGCCGTGGCTTGCGGCGACGGGGCGACGGCCATCGGTCTCGCGCTCGTGGTGGTGCGGACGCGGCGAACGTACACGGTGTGGCGCCGATTCAGGCGAGGTGGGTGAGGCGGAGGGCACGAGGCGACGACGCTGGTCGCGGCGGCGTAGGCGGGGGTTTATCGGCCCGGGAATACCGGAGGGGCCACCTGTCCGGCGCGATTCAGGACACGCGGTCTATGGACTTGGTGTATGCAAGGGTGGGAGATGTCCAACTAGTTGACGAGGGCAGATCCTATATGACGCCCGTGTGCGTCCGTTCGTCGCTGCTTCGCTGAAGCGAAGCGAAGCGAGCGAACGAGGCGCACGGGCCGGCCCACTTCGAGCGACACGTGGTTTTGGGAACCTTCTAGTAGGTTCTCTGAACCAGGTTTTTTTTTTTATTTTGCTAGTTTTTCCCTTTTTTCTGTTTCTTTTTTTACCTTTTGTATCCTTTTTCTGTCTCTTTACTTTCATTTTAACCCTTTTCGTTTAACTTTTATACTTTGTTTTCAAGAAAATGGTTCGAATTCCAAATTTTGTTCCTGATTTTAAAAATTGTTCATGGATTTAAAATTGTGTTCATTTTTTTTAAAAAAATCGAAATTTCAAAATTGTTCAGAGTATATCACAAAATGTTCAATATGAATTTAATATTTGTTTAGTGTATATAAAAAAGTTGTTCAATGTATAGTTAAAAATAGTTCAATGTATATTAAAAAAAATTCAATATATTTTTCAAATTTGTGCATTATATCACAAAAATTTACAGTGTGTAGTTAAAAAGTGTTCGGCGTACATTCACAAAAAATTCAACGAATATTCGAAACTTATAAAAATTCAACAAATGTTTGGATTTTCATTCGTGGTCAATAATTATTCACATTTTTTGTAAAAATCACGTTTTAATTTTTTTTGAGAAAACATTATTCATTTCTTGAAGGAATGATTAAAAGACGAATCTACCTCTGTACATAATACCTATCTTTGAGCGCTGTAATTTAATCAGTCGCTGGTGCAGTGGCGAACAAAGCTGCTATGTCGCGATGGGTCGCGGGTTCAAGTCCAACAAACGATGTATTTTATCGTAGCATTTCTCTTTTAGGTTCGTTCGTGGGAATGGACCGGCCCGTTTTGCGCTAATCCTTCAACGGAGGCTGCTCGTTTTGATGCACGAGAGCATCAGCTAGAAACACTCGTTGACGAGCGCTCCTTCGCCAGCAACGAGTGCTCCTTCGCCAGCCTCGCAACAATCACTTGGGGATGAGCTGAGATGCGTTCTCGGCAATTGCCACATGTCGTGCTCTGTGCGCTTCCTTCAAATTTTGGTTTTTATATTTTCTCCCACACGTTTTTGAATTTTTAAACGTTTTTTCCTGGTTTTGCTTGACATTTTTGTTTTTCACCGGCCTTCCTACGCTTTTTTTTTTGCTTTTGCGTGAGGCACGATTTTTACTTTGGCGAGAGGTACAACCATGCCTCTCGGAAATGAAAACAAATAAGTTTTTTTTCTTTCACAAGAGGTACGATTTTTGCTTCTATGAGAGGCACAGTTTTGCTTTCTTCAGAGGCACGGTTGTGCCTGTCGGATAAAGAAAAAACGTGTTTTTTTGCTTTCGCGAGAGGCACCACCGTACCTCTAAAAAAACGTGTTTTTTTGTTATTTTTTGCTTTCGCGAGAGGCACAGCCCGTGCCTTTTAAAAACAAAAAAACATATTTCTATTTTTTTGTTCTGCGAGAGGCGCGGTTTTACTTCCGCGAGAGGCACGACCGTGCCTCTTTCGTAAAGGGAAAAAACGTGCTCTCGTTTGGTTTTTCCATCCATTTTTTTTGTAAAAAAGTTTGTTAAAATCTATCAACATGGGATCTAGTTTTGAAGATTTCGATGCGAGGAATCCAATGAAGAAATGGTTCCAGATTCGGATGCACGGTTTAATAGATAAAACATTTTGGATAAACAGATGTATGAAAAAAATAGAAAACTCACTAGTGATGACAAGTGACGTGCATGCAGTGCACCCCTTGTCGCAACCTGAGGAGGTGAAAATTATCTTTGAAAAAAGTGATTTCGTGGGAGGTGGGAGCTTCTCGTGCATCCATGGCCTCTTATTTCAGATGAAACTGGTCCAGTCAGGCGGGCTGGCCCAATATTGTTCTCTGATAGCAGCCTAGCGCCTCTGCGAGACTTAGGGCTAGTTCTTTTGGCAATTTTAAAAATAATCTTTTTTTCATACGCCATCTTTCTTATTTATTGATGTTTCTTGACTAGTTATAGGCTAATTAATATAGAAGTCTCAATAAATTTTGGGAGGAGCTTATTTGTTAAGCTGAACAGGTGGCTTATTTTTTAAGCCATCCAAAAGAACTTGCCCTTAACTCGGTCTCGCCTCAGTGGTGCCACTACTGGGCCGGCCTGGTACCATAGTTGCCGCGTGATTTTGTTTATCTATGATTTTCTTTATCAATTTTTCACGGTTTCCCACTTTTCACGTTTTTCTTCATGTTTTCTTCGGATTTTTTCTCCAGCATTCTTCCTTTTTTCGCTTGGTTTCCTTTGTTTTTTTATTCTATTTTCACAAGTATTCATTGTTTTTTGCTGTTTTTTTCTTTTACTTTAAAACACATGTCTACTTTTTCATACACATTTACATTTTTCGTATACATCATGAATAATTTTTCTACATGTTTAACATTTTAAATACATAAATAACATCTTTCAGATATATGTTTTGATATCTAATTTTGAATGCAATGTCCTTGAGCATTATTTATATACATTTTAAACATTTTCCAACTATGTTATTAAGAATTTTTATAATTCGTGTTTTTGAAGATTTTTCTCAATGTGTGTTAAAAAAATTCAATTACGCATTGATACATTTTTCTGGATGGTATAAAACTTATTTAAAACTATGCAGACATTTTACTAAATTACAAAAAAATGTTATGGAAATATTTTTGAAATGTGAGAACATTTTTCAATTATTCTTTTGAATTATGTTGCTATTATTTACATTGTATAAACATTTTTCTACAATTTCATGTAAAATGTGTGGCCATTGTTCAAATCACAAAATGTTTTTTAATGCTATCCACATTATTTTCCAAATTCCTTACAATTTTTTTTTAAAATAAACTATGAAATGTCCAAGGTTGAGCCCTGGGATTTGATGGGGGACTTGAAAAGCCACAAAGCAAGAGCCAAGCAGAATTGATTTTCAATCGGCACTTCTCGTATAAATGGAGAATCCGCGCAAGGGAATCTTGACGGAGGACTCGTAATATCTTTATTGATCTAGCAAAAGCAAAATAAGAAGTCTCTTGAGCAGTGAGGAGCACAACGGTTTGTGCTCTAAGCGATAGACGTAAAAGGAAGGAGTAGAATTACCACAGCATCAGTTGCTTCCACTTGTTTGTTGCCATCTTCGACCGACAAACAAGGTACCCCCTACCTTTGCCTAGAAAAACTGGAGTTTCAGGCATCCTTGTGGGAGAAGATCTCAATCTATAATTAAGAAATGATAATAGATTGTTGTTTTATAGGCTCTTTTCCTCGGTGAATCTAGAATATTTTTTGTTCAGTTCAAATTCATTTTTTCATAGTTTTGTATCAAATTTAAGCATCAAAAAATGTGTTTCGGATCCTAAAAAAAATGTGTTTCGAATGTTTACAAAAATATTAACGAAATAAAAATGTGGTCTATTAAAAACAGAGAAGAAAAAGAAAATAACTTACAAGATGCTACTTGAACCGGCCCATTAGTAACGATGTCTGAAGCGAGACGACCTTGAGTTAGCGAGCGCATGGGCATACCCAGTGTGCGGAAGGCCATTGCCTTGTTTTTTTTCACGTTTTTTGTTTTTGTTTTTTCTTTCAATTTTTTTACCTTTCGCTTATACTTGTTAAATATTATAAATAGATATATTACAAAAAACATTTTACATCAAACATTTCAAAAAAAAGAGTTAACCAAGAATTTGAAAATGTTAAATGTACATAGAGAAAGGGTTTCTCATGTATACTAAATATATATAATGCGCGTGAAAAAACTTGATTATGTATTTAAAAACTGTTATTCCAAGCATTTGAAAAATATTAATAAAGCATTTAAAAAAGGTCAAATGTCTATAGAAAAATGTTGTCCTTGTATTCAAAGAAAAATGTTAAACTTGAATTTAGCAAATGTCAACAAAGCATTTGAAAAATGTTTAACTGTGTAAAGAAAAAATGTTGACTATGCATTATAAATATTGTTGAACTTGTATTTAAAAAATGATAATCAAGCATTTGGAAAAACAATGTATATAGAAAACATATTCACCATGTATTCAAAAAAAGCTAATCTAGTATTTGCAAAATGTTAATCAAGCATTGATTTTTTTAATCCATACAAAAAACTGTTAATCAATTATTGATTTTTTTAATCTATACAAAAAATGTTGACCATGTGTTTAAAAAATGTTAAACTTGTATTTCAAAAATGTTAATAAAGGATTATAAAAAATGTAAAATGTGTGTTGAAAAAGTATTAACCATGTATTAAAAAATGTTAATCTGGTATTTCAAAAATATTAAATGTGTATTGGTGAAATGTCGAAAATGTTAATCCGGTATTTGCAAAATGTTAATCAAGCATTTGAAACATGTTAAATTTGTATTGGAAAATGTAGACCATGTATTCAATCAATGTTAATCTTGTACTTGAAAAATATTTAATGTGTATTAGAAAACTTTATTTGATATATCGAAATGTGTATAGAAAACAATGAAAAATGGAGAGTAAACAAAAGAAAACAAATGGAAAGAGAAAAAAATGAACAAATAATAAAGAAAAGGAAAAGGCTAGTGAAAACGAAAAATAGACAAAGAAAAATAAAGGAAATAAAAAAGTAAAAACAGAGAAAGAACGGAAGAGTGGGAACTAGCAGCAGCAGACACTCTAGCCTCCTCCCGACGAGGTATGCTTTCCTCTCCTTCCTTCCCCTTCCTTCTTGTCAAAATTTGTTGGAGAAATG